CTCTTGTGCTCGTCATGTCCGTCCGTCCGTGACTTCACGTTTTCGTCGACGAGAAAATGCGCTCTCTGTCACTCACTGCAGTGAGTACTGAGTTATATTTTTTCTCTCTGTAAGGTGGCAGAAGCAAGAGACCGGCAAGATACCCTCCGCTGTGGTCGCTTGCTCGCCGTCTTGGCGATGTTCTTCATCATCCTCATCACTCCCTACACTCTCAGACACATCATCGTGGGGTGCACGAACTACACTGTAAGTTTTACAGCCTAGAGCACTCTTGATATCATATCCTTATTTAATTTAATAGATTGTTATCTGTATTGTATCGCCTATGTTCATGGCTCATCCCGTGCAGGGTATAAGTGACAGTGAACGACAGAGCGTTTCAGATTCGATGACAGAATTTGAAAAAGTTTAGTTTATTTATTTATCTAGTTTATTTGAATGATGATCTTCTTGTCGGTCATTAACGATTTGTAAATAATTTATTGAAGCAAGAAATAAAGCCTGACTAATGTAAGAATAGTCGCACTCTAGTTTTTCTGCCAGAGCACATCATCGCTTCCCTTTTTTCACTTTGTAATCAAAACTTCTTTGAATGATTAAAATAGTTTAATAAACTCACATTACCAATTAAGTGTACGAGAAGATATGCTTGCTTATAGTTCTTCATTAAAGAATTGTTTAAAGTACAATTTTCGTATTGCCATTATTATAGCGAACAGTTAACATAACTGTTTCGTCAATGACAAATGATTTTCAACCTCATTTTCTTCTGACCTCTAGCACAAACTTTTTTTGTACAATACTATTATAGCAAAAGTATTCTCGAAATGTGTTATATCGTTCGATAGAAAACAAAATGGGTGCATGGCGAGTTGAGTGTAGGTGGTGGTAGATGTCCTGTATATGCAACAAAGAGAGCGCATGGCGACTAAAGTGTAGGTGCTGTTACGTGTGCTGTATATGCAACGAAATGAGCGCATGGCGACTTAAGTGTCGGTTCTGTTACGTGTGTTGTATATGCAACAAAGTGAGCGCATGGCGACTTAAGTGTCGGTTCTGTTACGTGTGCTATGCAACAAAGTTCGCGCATGGCGACTCAAGTGTAGGTGCTGTTACGTGTGCTGTATATGCAACAAAGTGAGCGCATGGCGACTTAAGTGTCGGTTCTGTTACGTGTGCTATGCAACAAAGTTCGCGCATGGCGACTTAAGTGTCGGTTCTGTTACGTGTGCTATGCAACAAAGTTCGCGCATGGCGACTTAAGTGTCGGTTCTGTTACGTGTGCTATGCAACAAAGTTCGCGCATGGCGACTCAAAGTGTGTGTGTTTCTAGGTATGCTGTGGCAACGTGTTGCTGAGGGACCCGGACGACATGTGCCACATGACGGTGGTTCCGATGAACGGAGGAGCGGCGCTTCCTCGGCGGCCACTGAACCCGCGGCCATCGCCTCGCCACGCGTCGTCCACCGCCAGCAACAATTGTCCGCTGCTGGACAGCGATGGACATTCTAGCGACGTGGCGTGGTCGGTGAACAATGTTGTGTCGCAACATTATTAGTATACATTCGAAAATAATTTTTAGTAATTTTAGCGTGAATTCAGTGAGAAAAAAAGTATCTCATAACGAATGCTGTTGGGTATATGATCTTGAGGTGCTGTAACAATAATTAATTCACAGGAAGGTACTTTCTTGTTTACTCGTACATTTGTTAATTGCAAGGCACTATTTGATCATTGATTATTTGGGCGTGTATTACTTTCAGTGCATTCAAAGGGCACGTCAGGAGACTATCTTCAGATGATGGTAGCTCTTTGGGGGGCTTGCCGACTCCCCCTCTTCCCCCCGCGGCGAGGGTAGCAGCGGTTCGAGGGGACCGCACCAACCTCGCCAACGGCCGCCCCCCGCCCTTTGCGAGGGGTCCTCCCCCACTCATACGTGCCCCTCACACGGGCTCCTGCGATCTAGAGGCCGCGTCTGAGAAGTACTGGGGAGAGGTCAGCTCTTTGCGACCGTGAATAAAGTGGGACGAAATAATTCTTTTTTTTTTTAATTTTTTAAACTGAAATTTCACTAATTTATTCCATATATAACATTAAGTTAATAACAACCGCAATGAATTTAATCATCGATATTCGTTCTCATAGGAGTACTGGAAGCTGGTCTGTGTAGCCTTTTGACTGGACAAGGTTTAAAAAATGCTAAAGGATTCAAATTTTCGAGGTTGTCGATGGGTAAAAATTGAAGGGAGGATTGGATGGTAAAAAATTTCAGAATGAGATTGGTATGGGTAAAAATCAATAATTGTGTTACATGTTTTTGTGTTTAATGTATCAAAAATTACGAACTGAGTCACGATTGTAAAATTACTTACGATTTATTACCAATTAATACTTGAATCAATGTATTGTTAGAATCCGATTTACAATCACCCTAACAAAATTGAACAACGCATCATATTGATTTCAGGTAGAGGAGAAACTTCGAGAATTGTTCATTAGAAGTTTATCACAAAAGTTTTATTTATGTCAGTGTTTTAGAAATAGATTTTTTCGATAATAAAAAATATCAATTCACGTGAAGAATAAATTTTATGAATTCAGAAAATGCGCATTGAGTATATATATCACTTGACACGCCTATGCATTCGGGATTGAGAATATACTTCTGTAGTAATTATTATTTTTGCAAATGAAAAAACAAAACGTAATATATATTTTTTGTTATTGAAAAACCTAATAATTTTGTTTTCAGATTCTTGAGCGCGCAGTGTCGTCTTCATCACTGCACAACCTGCGTCTGCACCGCACTGACCAAGTGCCCGAGCGCTGCACGCTTCACAGCCACGCCACCAACAGGTTCAAGTCTTAAGGCCGCGATTGAGAACCGCGAGCCCTCATACAGGCTTGGCTGGATCCCTATGAGAATCTATCACTACGTATAGTCGTTATAACTCCGCTCGTAAATGAAATATCAATCTAAAAATTTTCATGCTCATCCAGTTATTTATTTACAATTTCCCGACAGTTAACGACTAACTCGGTAAAGGTTCTCTCAAGGTTTTTAAAACCAATGAATTTTTTTGAGAAATCGATTCAACCGTAATAAATGGAGCGAATGCCGAAGATTTCACACGCATTCAAATTCTTGAAAACAAAATCGATCAAACCAATTCTATGCATGCAGGAATAATCAAATTAAAAAAAATTATTAGGATCTGAAAAATTTTTCGGGTCATGAAATCAAATCTCGTCTTCGGCTTTATTTCTTTCGCATTGAGCCTAAAGTAATCGAATGATGAATTTGCACTGACAGTAAAAGTTTAAAAAATGTGTATTTCTGCATTAGATCCATCAGCTCTGACGATACATTTTTATCCATCATTAGATTCCTAGATTTAATTAAGCTTGTCCCGTTCTGTACCATGACGACTTTTGGCGCGGTTTCTTGCCCGACATGTTGACAACAAAGTATGAACCATCACCTCGATTGATACTCTAGTATCAAGTGTGGGGCAGAATCCTTATTCTATTTTGCTCATCAAGTTTGGTGAATGACGTTTTTCCGACTATGCATCTATCAGAGTACTCGGGATCTTTCTTCAATTCATTGATTATGCCAAGCGTCTAACAGAGGTTTTGACGTTAATTTCTTGTACAGGATTTGGACGTGGCAAGGATCCTTTCAGATGTGTAAATGCAGTTTTAACGTAGTGTTAGGTATGGATATTACATAGGCAAGTTATTCAGTAGGAATGCCTGCTGCGCAGACAGTTAACAGAAATTGGGGGCAAGGTATGAGAAAATCTTTTGTTAGTAACTTAATAATGTTCATCAGAGTTAAGAGAAATTTTCCATGTACAGTATAAGATAATAATAACCGCAATGAATTTCATCATCGATATTGTTATACTTCTAACGCAGAGCACAAACTAATTTTAATGCAGCTGTTCTAGTCGATGCTTTCTGTAGGTATGTACCGGTCGCGGGTGCGAGTGATGCATAATGAAATCAGAGGATACCACGATATTCGAGTCATTCGACGACATATTTTAACATCGACGATAAACTTCACGAAAGCATAGTGAACTGTGGAACCAAGTGCATCCTAAAATCGAAATTATTCGAGAAATTTGCCTGTCGTTGTTGTAGTTCTTAGATGTTTTCCCTCTCGTAATTTCTATTCATTACCTTCCGTTATTGACTAATGATCGTCATGGTTAACCTACTCTATGCAATAATAAATCGAAGTCATCTCGTCTGATCATTTCGTCCGCCTCATATTAGCAATCATTAATTGGGATCCACAAAACACGCTTCAACTTCAGAGAATTTTACTTTCAGACTCAGAAGTAAGATTCGCGGAATTCGAATGTGACCTCCTTGCCAGTAAGCCTCTTGTACACAGCTGAGAAGGTTTCGACCTGTGAATTTGAAAGAAGTAATTATTACTAATAGGTAATTAGTAATAATAGGTAAATTAGTAAATTAACAATAGTTAGCAGAACGGTACTTTCAGTTTCGACATCAAATGATCACAAACATCTGTTGTCTCTTTCTCGGAATAAATTTGAACAACGAATTGAGACAAGAAAAGTATCGGGCAAGTAACGAGGAAATGAGAAAAACTTGGCCTGGAATCAAGTTAGAAATTTGAAAATTGTTTCCTTGATTATATTAGACGTTACGATAAAAATATGGTGCACGGCATTTCGATTCGAAACGAGATGTATCGGAGACCAAGACCTAGAGTTTCAATGAGCAGCTGGGCAGACTTTGCGAAAATTTGTCAAAATACCCAATTAGGCATTTAAGCAGACATGTTGTGTGCATGGCAGAAAATTTTGTGGTCAAACTCATCTCTCATAACGCTACGACTGTAAGTGATAGAGATCCTTTAAATAATGAAAGCAGTGTTTATAGACGCAATGTCAGTAATGCTGCTACTTAAGCGAGAGTGAACGGGCACTTTTTCAGGTACTCTGTTTTCGTTAAATTCGACGACATCTGCATAATGAGCTTCAATACCGTTTTGCAACCATAATTATATGTGCTGAAGATGGAAAAATGTTAAAAGTTGTCGAAAATCTTTGTTCATATAATTTTCCAGAAAAGGTTAATTATGAACTGTTAAAAAGCTGTGAATTCAGGAAATGGTCAAGCTACCGTTTCAGGGTTTTCTCATCTCGTCTCAGTATTGTCGAGGATTTGCACTGAAAGTAAAAAAAATTGTTTCGACGTCTCTCACTTATCAAAACCGCGCTTGTAGATCATTTAATCCCAAATAAAATTATCAATGCCCAGATTCTGAGATAAAAAAAAGCATGTATGCATGCAAATCCTAATCATGACAATTCAGTTCTTCTTAGAGATATGATCATAGTCATCACATCAGAAGATTTTCATCATATTGTCATGTAGAATTATCGTTCAAATGATGAAAAAAAAACTTTTTTGGGTGGCTTTTTTGCTTTCATTTGAGCAAATATATATGCAAAGCCTAGATTAAAAGTAAAACAATTTGCTCAATTGGGCAAATATTTTATGCAAATTTAGCTTTTGCTTTGCTCATGTTTCGTGGAATAAAAACTGTGCAGAGCGACCCACCTTATGTTCGATGTTGGTCTGTTGGCTCTTGTCAAGATGCACTTTGTAGAGGCGAGATCCGTCCAGCCTGACACGGATTCTCTTGCCAACGATCTCAGCAGGGTACACGAGATCGTCCAAGATGGCGCTGTGTACCGAAGTCAGGGTGCGACTGTAAGCATAAAATAACAATTAGAACATGATGAGGAATGGAATTAATGGGGGGCAAAATTATACAGATTCAGTTCTTCTTAGAGAGTTGCAACCGATCAGGGCTATCACAGCAGAAAATTGTCATCATGCGTGACTCACTTCAAATAGATGAGGGCATTGGAATAAATTAAACTTGCACATCTCATAGTCTCGGCTTCAAAATCTTAACTCGTATAATACTCGATTACATTTAGGGTTATATGCATACAAATTTTATGTGAAAACTCATTAGGATTGTATAAAATACTTGAAATAACCGAGCTCGCTCGGCGAGTTCTCAGTGGCATTTATAAATAATTTAGATTAATTTGATCTAGAGAAGAATGTTCACCTCATAGGTCTCTTCTGTTTAAGAGGAACCTTCATGTTTGGCTTTTCCTTGGGAAGGATGCGTCGCTGAGCGATGATTACAACATGTTTACCGCTGAACTTCTTCTCCAGCTCCCTGACCAGTCTCTGCTGCACGCGCTGGAATTGCTTCAGCAGTGGCACAGGTACAAACAGGGCGATGCACTTGTGAGAAAAAGAATAAAAGCATTAAGTCTCTCGGTAAAATCACTCATTTTCCACACACAAGATCACGGTTATGCACAGTAGATACCCCAGCAGCAGAGTACAAGGTAATATCTGCTGGACACATTCAAGTCATGACTGCAAATTTATCAACCAATTACTATGACTTCATTGCTGATTTTCAGTGTAGATCCAAATAATTAGAAGAAAGCAATCAAGATTGTGAAAAGCAATCATCTGTGGAAACAAATATAAAGGATCCCACATTGCCTGCTTAGTAAGCAGCATGGTTAAAAATGATAAGAAGGAAGTAAAAGGGTGTAATTTGCAGTCAGAACAGTTCAGTTCTTCTTAGAGAAGTGATCATGGCAATCACAACAGAAGATTTTCATCATGTGCAATATGAAACAAAGCAGTAATTGAGGCATCAGATTTTGAGGGCAAACAACCAAACAAATAGCATATACAAGTGCAGTCAAAATGCTGAACTAGTTGAATCAATCAAAGCTATTTACACTCTCTAGTAAGTGAAAGTGAATAGAATTGAATCACGCAATAGTTAGCAATTCAAATAATTTCCAGTTGAACAAATCATATCCTTCAAGAGGAATGTGCTCACTGTTGCATGATACAAGTCACTAATCCAACTCTCACTTTCTTCTCTCCAACATCAATCTGTTTTGCGCCATTGATGGTAAGGTCTCGCAGATCCTTCAGGTCTGAGTTGGTCTCTAGGTCCATCAGAGTCTGGCCAATTGAAGTCTCAAACTCATCAGGCTCATCAAATCTTTTTGTAATCTTGCCATTGCAGAAGACGGGCATCTGCAAATAACATTAAAAATTAATTCACAGCAAACGCCAACAAAAGACAAGATGTCAATCAACTAACAGGAAGTATACAAGTAAATTTATCCAATACCTCCAATTTTACTGTAAATGTCAAGGAATGTGTTAAAACTGCATTTCTCAGTAAAAAACAAGAAATTTTGGAAATTAACAAGTGAAAAAATAAAGCTTTTATGAAAATGTTAGATAAATAATTTTAAGGCTATAAAAATTCAATTAATCATTGATTAATGATGAGGTCCAGAACTTTGAGAATAGTTTGTTTCCCTAACTGAAGCCACAGTGTCAAGAGTTGTAACCGCAGGCTAATGGGATAAATTAGCAAACAAAATAGCAGGACATTGGCATTAACAAAATCAATGAAGTCCCTAGAAATAAGGAATCATTAGTATGGGTTGTAAATTGGCCAAAAAACAAACTATGTCAACATTTGGCTAGGAGCAAGGAATTTGGTTAACTAACTTTTTCAGAATTTGGGTTACTGTTGGTATTAGCAATCCTCTCAAGGACATTTCTTTGTATTAAATATTTAAACAAATCTTTGGCAGTATATGAATGTATAAGCACTCCTTACAGATTTCATATCACCAGGAATTTTATTTTCTTATGATTCATGTATCAGAGATAGCATCTCAACTTATTGTGATGAAATCTTCAGACAAACCTTTGATATATTCAACTTCCAGGCATTGTGGCATTTTTCAAATTTTCATGCTGAATTCTGATAACAAAATTGTTATAATAGAATTAGTTATATATATATACTTTTTCTACTATTTGCCTAGAAATAATTTTGAATAAATGTCTGCTATCACCACTTCATTATGATACTGATTTATATCAACATAACTAGATGGGAGATATCTGGATGCCCGAGTACAAAATTATCTTGTGCACACAGCACAAGTATTGGCAACTTTATTCTATGAGACAAAATACATTCAAATACCATTTTCAAGATTGAACTGGCAAATTATGTCTCTTTTGAATGACAATCAATGGTTTCTTGAATTCCCAAACACTTGCACACCAAACTTAGACCAATACACTCCCACAGAATCCACAAGAAAATTTAAAATGTATTTAAATTACTAACCAAAATATGTATAAATGATACACAAACTAAAACCAATCACATGCAAGGTACTTAATTTCATTTAATGTGAATGACACTTTCATTTTGAATGTTTTTTTTTTCAAGCAAGTTGCTTTCTTGCTTTAGAAATTAATTCCAGTCTAAAAATTTAAAAATTTAGAAATAACAAACATTGAAAGGACTTGATAAGAATATGAAAATTAATTCACTAGAAGAAAACAAACAGTACACAAGTGACAGCAACAACTAAGACAACACAGACTCTGACCCTCTTTAAGGCAGCACTAAATCTAATGCAATGCAGTTTAGCAAGTAAACAAAAGAAACTTCTGAGAAAAAAATATTGTGCAGTTTGCTCAAACTACAAGATTGTGTAATTTGAGCAGCATAAAAGGCCTACTGGACAAAATTTGCAATTCACAATTTTTATGATTTGTATGGCTACCTGTGCAGTTTTTGCACATACCTACAATTATGAATTATAAAATGAACTTTGTGTCACAGGATTACAAATCTGTATGTGCCTTCAGGGGAATGAATTATCAAGAAAAATTGAGCCAGTCTTGCTTGAAAATGCTAGAAATTGTCAAAACTCTTTTAAAAATTACTCAACATTATTCAAGAAAGCATTCCTGCAACAAATAAAATGCATAAAAAAAATTTTTAAAGACCACGTTTTTCATGTGGACTCAAAAGTAGAAAATAATTTTTCGGCAGCTACTGATGAACTGATCTCTGTTTGCTTTCATTCTCTTGGTCTTTTGTATTTCAGTTAAAATATTTTACATCTAAAACGAAAAACGTGGGGTGCATATGTATTTAATTGTTTTGTGATTACTTGATATGATGAATATGATGGTTCATTGAACATTTGATAAGTGATGGAACTAGTACTTTTTATAATTTTAATTGTTGAGTGCAAGCTGCCCTGCACTCTGCAGACACGCAACATTTCCAAGTGAAGTGAATCAAGTGATTACTTTATAGAAACTTTTTATACCTTTACCCAGGATGGAATTCTAATTTTGAACGTTCATATATTATTTCGATCCACCAAGACCACTTTTTCTACCCAACATCGTTATTTGAGGCAAAAAATGAACTTCTTAAAGGCATAAAATACATAGGCTAACTTGCTCAGTTATCTCCTCTAGATCTGAGTGAAAATTTCTTCGGTATGTACGGTTTTATTATAGCATGCTATAATAAAACCGTATACAAGGCCAGAAATTGCATTATCATATTTATAAGCAGCAATTTTTTATTTCATCCAAGTGCTAAACATTTCATGAAAATAAAGTAAATGCTAGCAAAATATAACGGAAAATAAAGTATCCAAGGAAAAAGTATAAAATAGATTAACCAGCTCTAACTTTCTAATTTCATCACAATATGCTACCATCAAGCCACATAATTTTCCACTAAAGGAGATTCCAGAATAAAAGTGTAGAAGTCTTGATGGGTCAGGGCACCACATAACCATGCTGGTGCATGCCTCCAATGTTGCTCGGGTGATGGTCTCAAAGTGAGCCTCCTGCATGTGGTTCTTAAGATCATCCAGATTGTAGGTGGCATGTGAGTTGCGGCTTAAGGTTATGCTAGTAAGATCAATGTAGTTCATATTTTGAAGAAGTCTACAACCTTCTTTTACACAAGATTTTATAAACATTAGTTTCTTGAAGCAGTCCAGATTTTTTACAGGGATTATTATTCATTACAAGGTTTTTAATTTTCTCATTTTTTCCACTTTGTAGCCTCTGTTCATCTGCTTTTGGTAGAAGACCATTGTGGGGGTTCCATTAGATTTAGATATGACTTCATTGTTGGTTTGGCTTTCTCTCAATTGGTAATTTGATATTTCAGTGTCAACTGTTCTATTTGAAAACCCATTATTTGCTAGAATTTGTTTACATGATCTGAGTTCAGTTTTCAACTCAGTCTTGGATGTACAGGTCTTGATTGCTCTTTGTATGAGAGCATGCTCTGTGCTGGTTTTATAGCGCTGAGGGCATTCACTTTCTTTGTTAAGCACTTTCCTGACATACCATAAAATGGGGTAACTTAGACCACTTTTTTTAATGATGCCATTTTTTACTTGAATTGAAACATGCAAAATACAGGTCTTATACTCTAGGTTCCCTCACCATAAATTGCTGGCTCCTGCCTCTCATAGTCTTTATGTAATTTCAAAAAAGTGATGGTCTTTGTTACCCCATCTCTTGGGGTATCTTAACTGGGTGGTAAAATCAATTATATTTTTTGGTAAAAATAACTCCAAATAACTTAAGGCTTTGGTGCATTGTAGTAGAACCCTTCTAGTTACATATGCAAATGACAAACTTGAGGAAAGTGTCATAGTTTGCAAATGGGGGGTGCCGCCTCATAATGGGGGAAATTTGACTACCTAATGGCAGCCCTGATGGGGTAATATTCACTGGCTTGGAAATTAAGTTAAAATTACCATATATAAGACTATAGAGTCTGAAACATAAAGAAAAAACATTAATAGGTTGTCAAACATAAAATATGTTATATATGGTAATTTTATATTAACTTCCAAGCTGGTCTATGTTACCCTGTCAGGGCTGACATTAGGTGGTCTAAGTTCCCCCATTTGGGGGTGGCACCCCCATTTGCAAACTATGACACTTTCCTAAAATTTGTCATTTGCATATGTAACTAGAAGAGTTCTACTACAATGGATCAAAACCTGGAGTCATTTTACCAAAAAATAAAAAATTGGAGGGGGTACTCTGACAGGCTTGAAATAATAGCTTTTTTTCATGGGTCACATTTTTAATTTTTTAACCTATTAGATATGCAAACTTTTTAAATCTTTCTATTGTGTTACGTAGCCTCAGTATTAGGCCTTTAATGCCCATTGACAAAATTTTTCTATGTCAAATAGTTTTTGAGTTTTGGGGGTTTTTGTTAAAAAAACAAAAAGTGGTCTAAGTTACCCCGGGAGTTTAAGTTACCCCATTTTACGGTAGGTAGGATGTCAGTAAACATAAGTGACAAAGGAATTATCTTCAATTTGCACTAATATATCTAAAATGGCAATTTGCAATTTTGTTCAATTTCATGGGTAAACTTCAAGACTGATTCATGTTCCAAAGCTCTTTGCAGTTCAATCAAGTGCTCTTTGTCTTGAATGACACCAAAAATGTAATCTATGTATCTGCAGTAAAGCCCAGGCTTGATCTGCGTATTGAGCAACACTCAATTTTATAATTTATAAAGTCTCATGAAATAAAGAAGGTTGTAGACCTTCAAAATATAAACTACATTGGTCTTACTAGTATGACCTTAAACCGATGACTCACATGCCATCTACAATCTGGATTCTGGAGGACCTAAGAACCACATGCGGGAGGCTCACAATGAGACCATCGCCCCAGCAACATTGGAGGCATGCACCAGCATAGTTATGTGCACTGACCCATATATATGTACATGTACATAACAAAATAGGTTGAAAAGCACCTCACACTGCTATGCTAAAAAGTACACTGAGCTCATGAAAGGCTGTTCTGCATTGGGACAATTTGCCAGCTGCATGTCAATCTCCAACACTCTAAACTCAAGCACTATTACAAATTGTTTCCCTTTCAACATGTTATGTGCAGGGGCCAAAATTGCAGACTGCCCACGTGTGCAGCTATGTTTTGTTGGCAAATTAAAGCCTTGCAACCGGAAACAGTATATATGCTTTATCTGGTACTTACATGAAAGAGTAAGCTCATTTTCTATTATTTCAAAAATTCAAAGTTCAAACCTTTATTCATGACATCAACATGACTGCGCTATATATTTCACTAACATGGGAAACCCAGGGCTTTTCTGAATATTTAGTATTATTTATATAAACAACCCAATGGTGGGTTTTTTAGCAGCAGATGGAAATTGGCAACAACTCATCAGTGGGTTGTACCACACTAAACATGGTAACTGAACAATTTTAACAATAAAATATCTTCTAATAAAAAAAGTGTATAAATTTTGCAGAAGAAACAGTATTTTAATAATACCATTTTGAATAGGGTAAATGCGGTATATTCCGACACATTAAGGACGTAGCAAAAAATGAATGGCTATAAAAAATCACCGTATGCGCAACTTGAGTTCTGTTTGCTTTACGTCACTCTCAATACACCACACTATGCGCCAGCAACAATGAAACGTCACAAAATGTTGCCATATTTATTTAAAAGCCTTTAGAATACAAACCTACCTAATCCATATATTCCAACACCTGTCTCTTATACACATCTAGATGTGTATAAGAGACAGGCCATCAAAGGAACTATTTTATTGTCAGTATATTTACTATATAACTATAATAATAATATATTATTCTGCTTAGGCACAGTCTCTCAAAATGTTCCAGAAACACATTTTCCATTACTAATTATTTACATTTATTTGTTTGTGGTACAGCAAAATATTGCATTTTTTTTGTCACAGTCAATGTAGCTACCACGTGTTCTTGTGTGTGACGTCACCGCTAGCCATATGTAAACAAAGCCACAGTAGTAAAGATGGGACCAGTTTTGCATTGAAATCGATCGTTATTTGTGAATAATATTTTCGATTGTGATATTATAACATATTTCTGATTGTGAAATAATTTTGATTGTGATATTGACACTTCACAGTAGTGTCAACATTTGAACATCAAAGTTCTAACATCATGAATTATGAGGTAAAAGTGTAAGGACTGAGCAAAGCTAGAAGCCTAGAATCATGGCTGAGGCTTAACTGATGTCATTGTCACTTTTTACGTCATTGATATCATTCTGGAACCAATGTAAGTAACTAAGGAATTTCCCAGTTCAAATATCTATTAATATATTACTATCAATTTTGAAATTCCACATATTTCTAAAGGGAGTTGTGATGAGACCATGGGGTCAAACTGTTGAGTTTAGACCATTGCAACTTGCAAGAGAGGCCCAAGGGCATGGGGCCTTGTGAAGGGTTAAGACCGCCGCACGGCGGAGGACCGCCATAAGTACCTCTCTTCATAGAATTCCACTATGGGGTGACGCGCACTGTCTCTCTTTGGATCTCAACATTTTCCTGCCCGATGGCCCAGGCATAGTGTTTTGGCAATAGTATGGTGCGCAATAGTATGACGTCACTATTTCAACCATCAACGAATGCGTGGAACTAAGAAAAAGCTCAATATAAAGGAAAAAAGTCAAGAAGTGTCGGAATTACCCATGCCACGATGTTGGAATATACCGCGTTTACCCTACCATACAAAATGATAACATAATCTCAGTCTCTACTGACTTCAGATAATATTAAAAACAAAACAGGGCTCATGAATAATTTTGCCTGCCATCATCACCATCTTTAAGAAAATGCTCATTGCACATTGTTCATAAGTGGCAATTATTTAATTTTGATGTGACATTAAAATTTACTAGCAGTACACTATCAGAATTTCAATCCCAAAAACTTGTACCTAGGTATAAAGGTATTGCGAATTCATAACTTGACAGTTGACACATAAAAAATATATATAATTTGCCTTTACACAATGCAAAAATTAATGCTCAGTTAAGGATATCAGAACAGTATGGAATTCTGTATAGGTAATATATTATCATGATAAAAGAAAATGTATCGAAAAATTTACCACCTTACACTAAGCTCGTCAGAAACTGCAGACATCCGCACAGCTGCACTTCCTCCAACTCGCTTGCGTGTGGTTTGAAAACTGATAAAAAGTCAGCAACTCTTCCCTCCAATACATCACTAGTCGTGTATCCGTATCGACAAATTTTGTAATGAATATGTTCCAAAATAAAATTACATAAACTTTCGCAGAAAATTCTCACGATTTCACCAATACCAACAAAAATCTCGAATCCACACGGAATGATGGGATAAAGTAAACTGCTAATCTTTTACAGCATATGGCAACATTGTGTTGACTGTTGACATTAGACAAGACGGTGTCAGACACCTTGTTTTGGTCTTGTAAAGTTCAATTTCATAATAAATAGATTTGATCCACATTTCACAGTGACATTTAAATGATAGGTCAATACGTTGTTCTCCAATGCTTTATAACCCATACCATCACTTCTTACACATGCTGTTATCCTAAGTGTCCACTGACTACACTGCATTGCCGCAAATGTGAACTGTACCAAACGGTAATGCGTCATCACCTTACTTACTCCGCAAGACGCTAACCCCACGTCACTGTTTCCCTGCCTTACTATCCCCCAGCATCTTCTTCCCCCCACACTTACCCTGACTCTCCACCATTATCGCATGGCTAACTGGAGGCGTTTCTCGCAGACCTTTGATGCTTATCCAAATTAGGTTAGGTTAGGTTACAATTCGTATAGGTCCTCTTTTCATAGCGTAATGCAGTCAAGTGAGCAGAAACTAAGAAAAGCTGTCTGGCAGTTGGTGAAAAAAGGTGGGGAGCAGGCGTAAGCGTGGAGGTAGAGTTATGCTGGGGAAAAACAGCCGCGAAGAACGGACGGGCTGGAGTGCTGGCTGTGTATCAACAGTGGTATTGCATAAAAGTTGCTAACCGAAAATTGTGAGGAGGTTAGATGGCATGGCGCATGGGATAGAGCTGTTGGGCCATTTTTAATACGGCGTAGAGCGATTGTATTGGTGGCTTACTTCTCATTAGCTTGCTGGTTAATTTCCATGAAGGGGATTTGTACCTTTGGCTCTCAACATATAATCCCTTAGGCCTAGGGCTTAGTCTAATCTGCCCTTTAGCAGGCTTACGCATGGAAAAGAGGATGAAAGATATGCTGGTCTTGGGCAATGCTGGCCTCTGGCATGCATCCCCTGACCGGGGGTGCGCAGCCGTAGACCAGCCAATTAACGCTCAAATCAGCCCTGGAGCAAACATCAACCATCTAAATGCTATAGATATTGTCATCCTGGCACCTAAGCAGCTGTAGTCAATTGACCTATCTCACCACACATTTATGCACACAAACTTTAAAGCAACACTGCTTCAGCACACAAGCTGCTACTCCACATAGTTAATGGTCAATACGTTGTTTTCCAATGCTTTATAACCCATAGTCCCATACCATCACTTCTTACACTGTACACATGCTGTTATCCTAAGTGTCCGCTGACCACACTGCATTGTCGCAAATGTGAACTGTACCAAACGGTAATGCGTCATCACCTTACTTATCGCATGACTAACTGGACGCTTTTCTCGCAGACCTTTGATGCTTATCCAAATTAGGTTAGCTTAAGTTAGGTTAGTTTACAACTCCTATAGATCCTCTTTTCATAGCGTAATGCAGTCAAGTGAGCAGAAACTAAGAAAAGCTGTCCAGCGGTCAGTGAAAAAAGGCGGGGAGACGAGGTATGCGTGGAGGTAGAGTTATGCCGGGGGAAAACAGCTGCGACAAACGGACGGGCTGGAATGCTGGCTGTGTATCAACAGCGGTATGGCGTAGGGAGTTGCTTACCGAAAATCGTGATTAGGTTAGACGGCATGGGATAGAGCTGTTGGACGGTTTTCAATACGGCATAGAGTGATTGTATTGGTGGCTTACTTCTCATTAGCTTGCTGGTTAATTTCCATGAAGGGGATTTGTACTATTGGCTTTTAACATATAATCCCTTAGTCTATTATTTATTTTTTTGCCTCAAATAATGTTGTATCGAAAAACTGGTCTAGGTGTAGTGAAAATAATATATGAACTGTATATTTTAGAATTCCATCCTGGCTGCAGGCGCAGCTTTCACTCAACAATTAAAATTATACAAAGTATTAGTTCGTTAAAGATTTCTCTTAATATGACTGCAAAGAAGTAAACTTCATAAAGTAATTACAGCTACTGTGACAGACAATAATAATCACAAACCTTATAAAAACACTTCACAATTTATAGCATATAAATGACTATACCTAGGTACATGAAATGAGAAATTTTTATTTAATTAGGTATGATATTGATCAAACCAAACAATGGTAAAATGTGATAATTTCATGGCTACCCAGTGCTCAGTTTGGTTTGATGCCTTTTTATGTATTTTCACAGCTACAGCCTGTACAAATACCCTAACCACGCTTACCCACCAGGATGGAATTCTAAAATTTACAGTTCATATATTATTTTCGCTACACCTAGACCAGTTTTTCGATACAACATTATTTGAGGCAAAAAAATTAACTTCTTATAGGCTTAAACACGTATAGGTAAAGGTATAAAAAGTTTCTATAAAGTAATCACTTAACTTGGAAATGTTGCGTGTCTGCAGGGCAGCTTGCACTCAACAATTAAAATTATAAAAAGTACTAGTTCGTTAAAGATTTGTCTCTTAATGTGACAGCAAAGAACTTTTCCATGATGCACACAATAAACACGCAATTCATGGGACTGATGGGAGCAAGACCTGTCTCTTATACACATCTAGATGTGTATAAGAGACAGGCCTCATGGTATTCATGAATATCATTAAAGAAAAGTCTTTAATAATACAAGTATATGCTTTCGCGCAAAAAATTAACAAATTAGGTAATTTAGTTAAAATTTCATAAAATGGAAGTTAGGCTAGTTGGTAGAAAAATTACGGTTCCCGTGGATTTCGAAAAATCATCAGCTCACTCATTCGTCTTATTTACATACATTTACCTCTAGAAAAATAAAATTACCAGTCTTTCAAATATTATATACTGAGTAACAATAGACAAACTTACTTTGATAGCAATACAGCTGGTTATTTTCCCGATAAATAATAATCGAAAATTTCCTCAGGCTCACACACGTAACATCACCGCGACCAATACAAACAGAACGTTGCTGACCGATTGTGATTTCAGTTTTAGAGAACACCGATACATATGTCGAGAAATAATATTTTCGTGTCAAAAATCAGGTTATCCATACATTCCATAATATTCAAAATTAAAATAAGTTTCTCTCAGAAGAGAATTTACATCATCTAACAGTATATCAAGAATATAGGTAAATTAATGAAATCTAAACAATTTCAATTAATTGTCTCATGCCAGTTTGCACAATAGTAAAGATATATATACACTAGAATAAATTATTGTCCCATGTTAATATGCTGAAGTGCGTACTTATAAATATGATTGTCATTGAAGTTTTGCTCAATTCGATTGTGTTAAGAGCATGAGAGCCGAGCAGAATGGACTCATCAGGTTACTTATGGGACACCATGATCGCAAATATTATGCCAAGAACAAAATTATATGAATTAATAAAATTATATAAAGCATTGATGGACATACATATGGTAATCCTCCAGAAGATTATGTCTATGTTAGCGCCGGAAAACACGTGATGCTCAAACCGCGTAATTTTAAATAATTTGTTTACTTGCACGACCAACTAATTTCTTAACTCGAAACCTAATTTAATCCGACAGCGAGTGTAGAAGAATTTTTTCTTCAGGTGACTAATACCGTAATACGTTATATTAGAGAGGTAACGTGTAGTAATCAAAGCGATTCAAGGACTCGATTACTGGTTTATTCTCAACTTTCACCCGGAATATGGTGGATAAATTACATCGCGAAAAGTAAAATAGGGACTATTTAAAAAAACGATCACTGATCAAAAAAATATAACTCGGTACTCACTGCAGTGAGTGACAGAGAGCGCATTTTCTCGTCGGCGAAAACGTGAAGTCACGGACGGACAGACGGACGGACATGGCGAGCACAATAGTGCATTTTTTCCATAAATGAGAAAATGCGCTAAAAAGGTACGTCAAAAAAGTCCCACTATTTCCCAGTTTCGCCCTTACCAAATAAACTATTAATATAATTGCATGGTAATCGATGTTGAGGAAAATTAAAACACACCAGCAAAATCTTTGAATTTATTCCAATATTCACACTATCAGTCAATTCCATTCAAACAAGCAAATTCCAATTGAGCAACGTCATATAAGATTGAAAAAGAAATTGACGGCCGTGAGGAGTGAGTTACACTCAAAATCTCCATCTAAATTTATGATGGTAAATTTTTTATTTTAATCACCGCATGAAACTCTTGATATCCAGCAGATTACGGTGTAAAAAATTATTACATTACCAACCACAAGTCCATTGCATAATTATGGAGTAAAAATAAATAGGTTGCTAACAACCATGGCATTCCTACAGGCCTTGTGGCGTTGACCTCATTCCAGAGCAAGAATACACAACGGAGATTTTGAACCATAAATAAATATTTTACATAATAAGCTGCAGGCCGGATTAAAGGCATGAACAGGAATTAATCATTCTAGAATTTTCACAAAAAAATACTATTAGAAGACAGGAGCTGATGACCTTAAATAAATTCATCGGGGAGAGTTTGCTGGAACATCTCCTTTCTCCTCATCAGGGCTGCCGCGTGATCAGCGTAAGGCGAGACGATGGTCTGTGGCGGCACAAATGCGCCGGCAACGCAGCGACCTTCTTCGACCAGGAAGTTGTATGTTGAGACGGCCTTCTCTGTCGGTAGAACCTGTGCACACAATAAGTCTTTGTACTGATCATCATAAACAGAATTTTTGTATTTTGATCTTCCATTCAAATTCATACTACTTAGAATTCCTAATCAATTGCACAGCACCATTGTAACGCCCAGCATCAGCCCCCGATCTCTGCCGCGTCTACGTCGTGGGGGTACCCTGGCCTGCGCGTCGGCCGGTTACCCGGCATTCGCGTGGGCCAGGCCCAACGGCAGAGGCCNCGAGGATGAACAGGTTAACAGCAACAGAAAAGAAGACACTCATACGAGAGGTCGCTTACACAGGACGTCAGCCGCCCGCACGAGATACTAGACAGAAAATTTATGGAATCTTACCTACACGATAGCTTAATTCCATGACTGATATCCGCGGTCAGATACAGCAAGCTCAGTGGTGGCACGCCCAGAATCAATGCCCCTAGAGCACGAAATCACATAGGACTTCTGGTGAGCACAGACATACATCAAAAAACCCCCCAAAGAGGCATTTTACCATTACCTCGCAATTGTGCGTCATTGTGTTCAAAATATTTAAGCCCATTTTAGAGCATCAAATTGCATTTAAAGGAAAATCTCACCTCTAATGATATTCCTTTTTTGCTCATGAAGGGTAACAGGGAAAGGTCAAACTTGCTGCCTCTGTCACCAACGCCCAACACGAGGAGATCTGAAAAAATGCCGGGAAATTAATTTTTGAACACTTATTTGAAGGCAGAGTTATTAATATGCATGTAAGAGTAGTTTAAATAGAACTGAAGATGATAAAAACAGCATCACTTAAAGAAAATGGCATATGCTGTCAATTATAGAACGTTATTTCAATCAACTTTGTGAAGTAAACGGAATACTTGCAGAATTAAAACACTTACATAGTTTAACTTGTACATGATTCAGTCATGATTACATCAAAGTCAGTAAATTTGTGTTATTTTGATTGAATTCTTGACACCATTAGGACTTACATCCATTAAAATCAGTTTGAAAAGCTCACCAATTTTAGGAGCAAGCATATAGAAAAGTGATAGAGATTCCCGATTAATTTTTGCTGCAGATGTTACGTTCCAGCTCAGTAATGACTTGGGGAACAGAGCGATGGCGCCCACCACGGCCAGGCCATTGTTCAAACGGAACCCTCTCTGTAAAATGTTAATAATTAATTCATCAGAGAATATAATGGTAATGGCATAGTTGAAATTATTTTATTATCTTCCTTTCCTAAGTTTATAAATAGTGCAGGTGGCTTTTACCTTCATTTCTTGTCACAAAAAAGTAACATGATATCCATTAATGATATACAGTATAATTTACAGTACACCATTAATGAAATACAGTTTTACAAATACAGTAGTATAAGTGGTGAAACCATGAAACTACAGCCATCTGATTTAAAATAAAAATATATTAAATTTATGGTCAGTCAAAAATATTTACCCTGACATTAACATTCTAGAAAGTTGCCTTAGAAAGCAAACAAAACTAACCTGACTATAGCTGTTAACCATAAGTGGAGCCGATTCTTCTCTGTTCAAAAAGGTAACAATAGTCCGGTCTTCATCTGTATGGAACTTGGCACAACCTTCTTCTTGCTCCAGCCCTTTCCTTAGTATTCCATAGTTAAAATTGATAAATTTCTGATTTATTACTGGCACATGTGAAGCATGAAGATTACAGCAGTTACTTATAAAATGTTTTTCAGTAATGTGATGGAATGAATTGAGAAGTGTACGAGTGTAATACAAATTTTTTGGTACTTTTTGACAGCCATAACAATGGTTTAGATTTAAAACATTACAGATGCTATGGCAATGGATTGAATTTAGCTTCATTGATTTGCACAACAAATTATCAGAAAAAACTGTGAAATTTAAACAATATTTATAATTTAGTCTCAGCTGCAGGAACTGTGACAGCTGCAAATTCTTGACAAATGCCATTATGCCATTATCAATAAGTCAAACAACCATCACATCAAAAGTTATCTTGAAAACAATTGAGTAATTAAAACAGAATGCTTTGAGATTTGTCACATGAAAGACCCTTAAGCTGCTCTGTAAAAAAGCATAATATGCAAATTAGTTCTTTTCATAGTTTTTGACAGCCAGCCTAAGAGAGGTAGGCAATCACTCACTTTTACAGTGGATTTTATGATACCTCTGGAAAGTTTATAATAACAAAGAGCCCCTACGAGGTCTACTCATGAGAATCAAAAAGTAAATAAGGAAATGCAAATAAAAATTCTCTTGTTGGCTACTAAGAACATACAGTTGGGTCTGCAGCCTGGCAGAAACAGCCAGGTTGCAATACGCATAAACAATATCATAAAGTTGAGGTGGATAGGGGAAATAATAGCTACTGGGACCCTGAGCCTATCTTTCTTAGCAATGAAAATTCAATTCACCCCAAAGAAGATCAAAGAATACATTCTGAGCCATCTCAACATCACACTTCCGACAAAATACTCAATTAACTTGAATAAGATGCCCCATAGGGCACAACCAAGTTGATAATGCCAGCAAAATCACAGATGTTAGTCACCAGTACTCCTATTAAGCACATTTGTATTTTATTTATTATAAATAAATAAAATTTATTTATTTAATACATCTTACCACCTGATAAAAAGCTGACTTACAGGCACAGAAGAATTGGCACTTTCATTAGAGCTCAAAGAGAGAGACAAAGGTAGCAAATACTATATTGGGGAATGAAGCTGGAGGAGAATTCTGGATTAGGAAGTTTGTGGTACAGCAGAGTTAATGATACAGAAGAGTTGATGGTACCAAAGAGTTGATGGTACCAAAGAGTTGATGGTACCAAAGAGTTGATGGTACCAAAGAGTTAATGATACAAATTTAGGAGGTAGCTGACACTGATAGGGCAACCTGCCTAATGACGGCTTCAAAGCAGAGGATGATGAAGGTGGCACATCAGTGTGACCATGAGTGACGACATCCTGTCAAATGGGGTAATAAGGGATGCTTTTGACTTTTGAGCATTTTTCCTTAATAACTTCTTACCATGAAACATTTCATAAACAAGTTTGGGCTCATTTTAAAGGTATCTGCGAGGGCTATTGTATGGCTCAGGGCTGCTATGGCATCTCTGAAAAAATTCCATATGCTATTTGTATGGTGCCAGATGCAAAATAAAAGCCTCCTGAACTAACCCCAGGAATGGGGTAATAATGGACACTTGGAATAAAACTTAATTTTAAAAAGTTTGAAGCATGCAGCGTATACTCAGCCATTACTAAATCAGCTAATCCCAACTTAGCAGTCAGCTTGAGCCTTGAGGCCAGCTTTGCCAAACTTCACACTTGACACTTAGTTCATAGGTATTACTACTTTCCATAGGTAAGAACGCTAGAGTGCATACCTAATGGCCTATGAAGTCAAGTGCTCAAAGCTATAGCGCTGGATGTCCACAGCCTGACAGCCAGGATGGAATTCTAATTTCGAAGGTTCATATATTATTTCAATCCACCAAGACCACTTTTTCTACCCAACATTGTTATTTGAGGCAAAAAATGAACTTTTTAAAAGCTTAAAATATGTACGCTAACTTGCTCAGTTTCTATGAAGTACCTAATCACTTGGAAGTTGTATGCCTGCACCTTTCACTCAACAATTAAAATTAGACTTATAAAGAGTATTAGTTAGTTGAAAATTTGTCTCTTAAGTTGATCGCAATGAACTAAACTTCATTAAGTAATCATTAGGCAGAGTTTTCCATCATGCACACTAAACACGCAATTCAGAGTTCAGACAAGCAGAACTACAGAACACGTGAGCTAACGTGCTACTGAATTGAATCTAGCGAGATGCTAATCTAGCGGGATGATCAATGCGGACGGTAATAGAGTCCAACTAATCACTCGTATACTTAGTGCAAGAGAATGAATAATTATGTTGTTTCTAATAAAACGAACGAAAACCTTTTCTGTTTCTGATCAAACAAACGAAAACTTCTGATCAAACAAAAACTTCTGATCAAACAAACAAAAACTTCTGATCAAACAAACGAAAACTTCTGATCAAACAAACAAAAACTTCTGATCAAACGAACAAAAACTTCTGATCAAATGAACGAAAACTTTTGATCAAACGAACAAAAACTTCTGATCAAATGAACGAAAACTTCTGATCAAACGAACAAAAACTTCTGATCAAACGAACGAAAACAAACTTTTGAAGATAATTCAGAAATCGTAACGTCTATTGAATTCTAATATGGATCATTAATTTATCATTTTCTGAAATAGTAGGAACATTTCCATTATCATTCTGAAATAGAAACGTCATTTCCGTTCTTATATATAAACAGGATTAATAAAATACCTATCAAATCCATCCAATGCCATTCAATTTGTGATGTATGAACAACAGTTTTACTTTCATTCCTATGATGCTCATTTTTACCGATTGAAGCTGTAGAATTAAATTAAATTAAAAAATTAATCAAAATTAAATTTTACTAAATCAAATTTCATTATTTAATACACTAGATGGTACATCCTGTAGAATTAAATTCTATTAGAAAAATGTTGAATTAAAAATCTGATTATATTTTTTAAATTAAAAATTAATATTTATTAAATTAAATTGTATTATTAATGCACTATATGGTACGTGCTCTATGTTTTATATAATGAAATAGTTTCCCATGTTAAACAACGAATATTTTCTAAAAGACACAAAACGTTCATAAACGCGTGATGGCAGACGAAATCAGTCAGAATTTGAAGTGAATTTATCAAGATAAATTCAACATAATAGGGCAAAAAATTCAAATCTGGAACGTATAAATGAGTTTTAATAATTCAAAAAAACTTTCAATCATTTAAATCTCAGAATGGAATGTGAATCAAATCTATTTATTGTGAAATCAAACAAGACACAACCAAACAAAAGCATGTGTGACGGCGTCCTGTAATTACGTAAACATAGGAAGTATGATGTGAATGTATGCAGTGAAAGAGTAGAAGTTTATCTCATAATTTTGTGTGAAATCATAAACTTTGTTGGTCTTGTCCAATTGTGAGAATTTTTTACAAATGTGGATGTGCTTTTTTTTATTTTAGAACGTATTCATTGCAAAAATTTGTCTACTACCCTACAGATAGACGACTAGTTAACTTGATTGAGGCATTGCCAACACAGGATTGGATGTCAAACCACACGCGATTTTGGAAGTGCGGCAGTTTTTAATGTGCTCAGTTTATCAATTTTCATTGCAGTGGAAGGTGGTGTAACGCAGTGGTAGCCTGGTAGCCTGGTAGGGTTGGTTTTTTGATATGTTTTCTTATATTGACATGAGAATATATTACCTATACAGGCTATACAGAATTCCACACTGCTGACAGCCACAAATAAGCTTGCTAAAAGTAAACATGGCCATACTGCATCTGGTCAAACTTCTCTAGGGCCCTAACCTACACAAGTTGCATTTCTCCACCCATAACCTCAGCCTGGACTGCCTGGTAGAGGCGTAGAGCCAGTCATTGGCTCATTGCCATAATGGAGTAAACGTTTAACATACATCAATGAATGCGTGGAACTAAAACAAAGCTTAATATAAAGGAAAAAAGTTGAGAAGTGTCGGAATTACCCATGTCCCATGATGTTGGAATAGGCTATACCATGTTTATCCTGCCATTTGAGTGATTGACTGCAAGAAGAAGGTTGTGAGCCCAGACAGCATGAATAGGCAAGTGCCAGTCAACAGAACTCACCCTAGGTTAGGCCAGAAGAGGTTACGCTAGAGTAGGTACAGCCGGATGAGGAACTGCCAGCTTATAAGAATAATGAGCGAGCATGCTTGAGCATTGGATAGGCTGAAGACCTACAGCGGCCGGCACTATTATCTTTCGGCAGTGTGTTGCTTGTCTGGATTACGGAGTTCAAGCATAGTCTAAGGCTTCTAGTTCTGAGGCTGAGTAAAATTAATGCATGGTGAAGCTAGGCGTTGGCTCCAATGCTAATTTAAGAGTAAAATTTGTGGCCTACGGCTGCGCACCCTGAAGACACCCTGTCCTGACCGGGGGTGCGCAGCCGTAGACCAGAAACTTAATGCTCAAATCAGCCCTGGAGCCAAAATCAACCATCTAAATGCAATAGATATTGTCATCCTGGCACCTAAGCAGCTGTAGTCAATTGACCTATCTCACCACACAAACTTTAAACCAACACTGCTTCAGCACACAAGCTGCTACTCCACATAGTTAATGGTCAATACATTGTTCTCCAATGCTTTATAACCAATACCATCACTTCTTACACTGTACACATGCTGTTATCCTAAGTGTCCGCTGACCACACTGCATTGTCGCAAATGTGAACTGTACGGTCTGTACCAAACGGTAATGCGTCATCACCTTACTTATCGCATGACTAACTGGACGCTTTTCTCGCAGACCTTTGATGCTTATCTGAATTAGGTTAGCTTAAGTTAGGTAAGGTTAGTTTACAACTCCTATAGATCCTCTTTTCATAGCGTAATGCAGTCAAGTGAGCAGAAACTAAGAAAAGCCGTCCAGCGGTCAGTGAAAAAAGGCAGGGAGACGAGGTATGCGTGGAGGTAGAGTTATGCCGGGGGAAAACAGCTGCGACGAACGGACGGGCTGGAGTGCTGGCTGTGTATCAACAGCGGTATGGCGTAGGGAGTTGCTTACCGAAAATCGTGATTAGGTTAGACGGCATGGGATAGACTATAGAGCTGTTGGACGGTTTTCAATACGGCGTAGAGCGATTGTATTGGTGGCTTACATCTCATTAGCTCGCTGGTTAATTTCCATGAAGGGGATTTGTACTATTGGCTTTTAACATATAATCCCTTAGTCTACTGTGCCCTTTAGCAGGCTTACGCACGGAAAGGAGGATGAAAGATATGCTGGTCTTGGGCAATGCTGGCCTCTGGCATGCATCCCCTGACCGGACCCTTCTTCTTCTTCTTCGGATCCATTTTTATGAGGACTCGGTTGTTCACCACCCGCCTCACGTCTGGATGGTCAGCAATGGCCAGACTGGAGCGGCCTGTGGATAAAAGGCCAGATTAGACTTTGAAAACTTTGAGGTTGTTTTG